AAACCAGGCTTTGTATGTACTTCCAAGTTGAGTATCCTGAACTCCGGCTGGGGAGAGTTCATGGTGCCATTTCTGAAGGGTGAAATGTGGGCTTACCAATGGTTGAATTCTAGGTGGAAACCTCAAATGTCTTTTTGTCTCTTCTCAATAAAGAAGTAGTCTCTCCATGAAAACTCTGGGTTCCAGAAGCTTCTATAACCAGATTGTCAATAACCAGATTGAACTCTCTTACACATGTGACATTGTGGAACATGGACTTGGAGGTCAGACACACCTGATATAAATGGTGCTTTCACTCTGGCTTTTGGCAGGTCCCTTGATTTCTCTGAGCCTCATTTGCATCTGTTTGGTGAAAATAAAGCCTAGCTGATAGATTTTTTTTTATTAAGATGAAACATGAATTGGGTATAAAGGATAGAAGACAGGGTCTAGTACATAAGAAGTGCTCAGTTAATATCTACCTATCTACCCATCTACCTGTCTCATCATCATAGTAAGATACTGTGAGCACAAAACCATAAAACTGTTCTGATTCCAATAGATTCTTTTCTCATCAGACTTGACTGACTCTACATACCTCCCACACCAGGGGTCTTTCTGAGCTACTGGAACAATAGGAAGAAGGAGGCCAGGGCTCTCAGCTGGCAGGGTCCCCATAGACAGCAGAACTTTGGTTTTATGTATTTATGTGAGGGCTCTTTCTGCTGTGCTAATTGCTACATGGCCCTGGGGAAGGAAGAAGGAATTTCATGAAAGAAGAGTTGATCCTAGATTCATTAGCCTGATTTCTTCCTGCTATTGTAAAGTGGGGCCAAATTTACTTTAGCCAAAAGAAATACTAAAACCAAAAACATAAAATTTAAAAATTAAGGTTTTTAAAAAATAAACCAAGAAGAAACAATGCATACAAATCAGGGAAATAAAGACAATGAACTAATTTTTATGCAAGAGGAGAGTCGCAATATTTATGAACCCAAATGCAAGACATACCTGAACGCTTTTTATTTTGCTCCCGTGTCTCTCATTTATTCAACTTGGCTAATCTATTGTTTTGAGTCCTGTCTTGATAAACACTCTAATTATTTTTTTGGAAGCTGAGCTCCTTAAAACCCTGTGGTGCAGAAAGGAAAGCCAAAGTAAACACACACTTGTTGCAAGTCTATTGTTATTTCAGAGAATCATTTTTATGTTGTCTCCTCCTTTTTTCTTTCTTTCTTTTTTTTTTTGTTTTCTTTTTTGCTTTGGTATTAAGGATTGAACCTGGAGCCACCTTACCATTGAGCTATATCCCCAGCCCCCTTTAAAAAAAAAATCATTTTTTTATTTGCAATTGGACACATACCTTTATTTTATTTATTTTTATGTGGTGCTGAGGATCGAACCCAGGGCCTTGCACATGCTAGGCGAGAGCTCTACCGCTGAGCCACAGTCCCAGCACCCCCAGCCCTTTTTAATTTTTGTTTTGAGGCAGAGTCTCACTCAGTTTCCCAGACTGCCCTTAAACCTTGAATCCTCTTGCTGCAGACTCTTGAATGGCTGAGATCATAGCCCATTTTTTAAAAAATTCATTTAGATGTTATGTAAATGCAGAACTTGGGTAGAAGTAACAAACCTTATCAACAAATTCCTGGAATGCTCCTGTGTTTTATCGGCCAATCACTGAAATCCATCACCATCGATCACGTCCATCAAGGATGTGAGTTCTTATTGTCACATTTGTGGGCTCAGTCCATGCAGCCTGCTGTGTGTTGTGTGCTATGTGGAGAAGCTTCCTGCACAGGTTGCTACTGTCAACTTCAGTGTCAGGGCTAAGCTGAGATTTCAGCCAACTTTGGGGTTTTGTTGTTTGTTTGTTTGTTTGTTTATTCCTGGACCAGTTTGTATATAATTACTGGAATGTCAGATAAGTCAAGTAAGAAATTCAAAAGGCAGAATCACCAAGGAGCACAGACAGAGGCCCAGAGAGTGTCAGCAGCTCCTACCCAGCTGTTCATCTCCTCTTGGCTCTAGAACCAGCTTGGGTTAATTTCAACCAGGCCTCTTGCTCTGTCTCCCAAAGCCCAAACATTCAGATCCATTTTATTACAATTGTATCCCCCCATTCTTTCCCATGTGGTTAGTCGGATCTTAACTCTCCACTTTTCCCAGTTTTGGGCTCTCTCTAATAAATCTTGTTGAAGTTAAGGTACAGCAGACAAAGGGAATCAGAATGCACAGCTCCTTCATCCCAGCCTCCACCAAAATCACCCACTGTGTCATCACCCATTTCAGGAATGCCAGTTCCAAAATGATTTAGCCATGAACTTCTCCCTGTCCTTGCTCCTGTACAACACCCCCACTGCAGATGTGCTGCAGTTCTTCCTAGAGAAAGTCACAAACTCCAGCAATGCTCTACCTTCACCTGGGTTCTCACTTTTGCCCACCTTTTTTATTTTTTATTTTTTTAGTTGTAGGTGGACACAATGTCTTTATTTTAATTTATTTATTTTTATGTGGTGCTGGGGACCAAACCCAGGGCCTCACACATGCGAGATAAGCGCTCTACCACTGAGATACAACCCCAGTCCTTTTTGCCCACCTTTTGTGGACTTCCCATAGAGGCTTTTTGAGTATTTTCCAGAATTAGATAAAGATGGCACATCTCCTGAGTGCCAAGGGCTTGTGAGTATTGGGGGGAAAGGCAGGAGGCATAGTCACTGCCATCCAGACCTACCCACTTTTCCTTCCTCTCCTTTCCACCCTGCTCAGCACCTGTCCCACTTCTAAGATTCCTTACAAGGACAGGCTCCCAGGTCATTATGCTTTACCCTGTGCTCCGTGCTGAGATACAGGAATAGATACACCCTACACATGGTTCCAGAGGGTTACACGCCTGCAGTGATTGAGGACAGGCAAACCAGTGAGGACTGGGGATCCCTGGTGATGGAAATATGAGGGGAGAGGGGTGCCACAAGGCTTCTCAGAGATGTGCCATCTCAGCTAGGACCAGCAGAATGAAAAAGGCAGGTATAAGGCACAGGGAGCAAATGTCCCAAGCAGAGGCTGGGTATGTAGAAGCTAGGATACCAGAAAGGGTGGTCTTGGTGAGGAGCTGGAAGGCTAATCAAGGGCAGATCCTGCAGGTCTTTACAGTAGTGCTAAGGAATCTGGACAGCATTCCTTGGTACCCATCAGAAGTGAATACTAAGATGATCAGACTTCAAGAGGGGAGCTAAACAAACTTTATAGGAAAGATTTTTATAATCACAAAAATAACACTTGCCAAATTCCTGCAGCAGTGTGCTAACAACATAGTTTTCTGATAGTATTTAAACACTAGTTCATTTTCTGAAGAGACTTAGTAACAGTGTTGAAGTTTTAAGTTGGCACAAGCCAGAAAAGATATAAGGTGTGACTTTTGCCCTTGGTGTATTTCTCTTCTGGTTGGCCTAATCATAAGCACATTAAAGAGCATAAAAATAATGATAAAACTACAATCAGTAGCTGGAAATGGTTTTTATGCAAACTGACCATCTAGGGTGAATAAAGAGAAATTATGGAAGAGGACTTGAGGGAAGGAAGGTTCACTAAGCAGAGGATGAGCTCAGGTAGTGGACCAGAGGGGAATGAAAAGCAAACCTGGAAATAAGGAGCTGGTCCTTTGCTAAGCAATAGGGCTTGGAATTGAATTAGAACTGCATGATCATGCAGGCTACTGCTGAGGACCCGGGAAAGTCCACTCTTGTGAGCTGAGCTGCAGAATTGTTTCATTGTGAAACAAGTTCTAATTACAGTTTTCTCTAATTGTTTTAGCAGTAATAACTAAATGGTTCATTCTTTCTCCCACCCCACCATTCTTCCCTCCCTCCCTCCCTTCCTTTCTTCCTTATCTTTAACTACAACTTTTAAATGTCTTTCTTAAAAACCTGATTTTAGAGCCATGCCACTTTTTCTGTTCAGCACTGAGTAGTAGTTTCTCATACCCCTTGTTGTTTTTAAATCTTTGATTCCTTCCCACTGTCATCTCTGTTGTCAAAGTGAATCTTTCTGGTCATCCTGGAGAGACTGTGCCCAGAGAACCTGGAGAGCCGGTTCCGTGAGCTGTTCATTAACTCAACAGAGGGGATGTGTTGACCAAGGACAGACATCCTGTTCTTGATATCCTGTTAATTTATTTGTATTAGGTCACTTTCTCCAGCTCCATTGTCTTGGTGTGGGCTGCTACAACAAAATACAATAGAATGGGTTGCTTGAACAACATATTTAGTAGGCAGGCGTGGTGGCATGTAATCCTAGATGTTTGGGAGGCTGAGGAAGGAGTTTTGCAAGTTCGAGGCTATCCTGGGAAACTAGTAAGACCCTGTCTTTAAAAACAAAACAAAACACCAGACATAATTCTGGGGACTTTGAAAGTCCAAGATAAGGCAGCAGATTCAGTGTCTGGTGAGGACTCTCTCTCTCTCTGGTTCATAGACAGCACCTTCTAGTTATATCCTTGCTGATGGAAAAGCCCAGGCAACCATCTTGTGTCTCTTTTATAAAAGCACAGTTCTGTTTATGAAGGATCTGCCCTTGTGACCTAACCACCTCCCAAAAGCCCCACCTCTTAAAACCATCACACAGGGGGTTAGAATTTCAACATATGGATTTCAGGGGAAACAAGCATTCAGACCAGAGCATGTGTTTTCTGATTTGAAAAGTTGGATAATGACATCTGCATATCAACATGTGAGGATTTAGTAGGGTCTTAAAAAGCTTCTCCACACATTAGTAAAGTTGAGACATATTGTTATTAAAAAAAATTTTAAAAAGGGACCTCCATTATTGGAGACTTGGTTGGGGGCATGGTTATTTCAGAAAATATTCAAATAACAATTGTGATTTACCCACTGTCTTTAAAACTTGAACCTTTAGAATAATATACACGAAAAGGTTTCAGGCACTTAATATTTTTTTTTCCTTGATGGTCCACTATGCTAGCCTACACTACATACAAAAAGAGAGCCTGTTTCTGTTTTCAGATTGCAGAGGGCATGGCTTACATCGAGCGGAAGAACTACATCCACCGCGACCTGCGAGCAGCCAATGTCCTGGTATCTGAGTCACTCATGTGCAAGATTGCAGATTTTGGTCTTGCTAGAGTCATTGAAGACAACGAGTACACAGCAAGGGAAGGTGCGTTCTGACAGCCTCTTTAAGTGTTTGGTTATTGTCTCATTTTAGTTTGCTTTTGTCTTTAACAAAACAGTTACAAAAAATCATTATTTAAAAAACAACTGGTACAATATTCAAGATATCTGTGAATGGTTCTATTATAATTATTTTTAAAAAGTCAGTGATCTCCATAATTAACTTCATCAGCACTATCATTTGTATTTCAATTAAGCAAAGCAAAACAAAAATAGATTCCACAAGATCAATAGTCTTTTTTTTTTTTTTGTATTATATGGTGGAAGTTTTTCACTCAAATCATGAAAGATATATACTTTTCTTAGCTATAGAGAAAATATTTATAAGAGAAATTCTGGGCTTTATATCTGGCTTTTTTATTTTTTTCAATTTGGAGATGAATTTAATTTGGCAATGATTTTGTTAGCCTTGCCCCCCCACACATGCATACACATATTCTGGCCTTTTAAATACAAATTAAAATATGGACATTGTCACACACCCAGAACCAAAGGTAATACCCACAAGAATATTTTGCTTCACTTTCCTACATTCCAATTGTATGTGAGAACAAAAAGTGTGTAGAGAGTTGTACATTTCCCAGTCCGGGCATATGGTTTTGCCAGGCACACGGTTGGGGATCCACTGGCCTTCCCTATGATAGGGTAATCTTGTTGCACATGACCTGGGCATTCTGATGCTCTTGCCCCCAAAAGTGAAGTGAATATTTTTGCAGTGCTACCGTCTTACAGTGAACCAACTGCTTTCTTAATTTTCCTAAGCATCATTAAACAAGGATTATTTTTATTTTAACCAAGTTATTTCTGGAGGATAATCCTAAAAGTTTAATGTTTTGTCCTAGCAACTGAAAGAATAGCTCATTTCTGCATGGAGTAGCATCTGAAATCTCTGTGGGCTCAGGCTTAGCTATAGTTGTCCACAAAAGCGTAACAATAATTCTAGCTGGGGGTGTAGCTCAGTGGTAGAGTGTATGCTTAGCACACATGAACCTTCCCTTCTATCCCCAGTGCCGAATAAACAAGTAAATAAAAATAATATGTAATAAAAGATATGTATATCCCATGTAAACAGCATAAAATAGAAAAATGGAAATTGTTCATTAGAGAAAAAGTGAAATTCTTTTCTTTTTTCCTTTTTTTTTTTTTTTGAGATAGGAGTCTCCTATGTTGCACAGGCTGGCCAAGAACTCCTGGCTCAGCCTCATGGGTCATTGAGACTCAACATCATGCCTGGCTCTAGAGAAAATCTGAACACTAAAGATCTATGCTTTAGAGCCTGGTTTTTAGGAGCATACAGAAACCTAGAATAAATTTCTTTATATTCCCTATCATATTCTTTTATGTTTCAAGTAGGCTAGATATAATATCCCTGGGAGATGACACAAGAAACTTTGCTACTAAATTGAGAATCGAAAGAAGATGCAAACATTTTTATACAACATTTTGCACCATCTCCATTTTATAACATATATATGTGTGACCTGTTTAAGATAAATAATATGAATTTTTAAAAAATCAAAAGGGCAAAATGTGAGGGTTCCATGTCCAAGACTTGTTTACATTGAGATGCTCAAGTAAGAGTCACCTGTCTTCGTCCCTAGGTGCTAAGTTTCCTATTAAGTGGACAGCTCCAGAAGCAATCAACTTTGGATGTTTCACTATCAAATCTGATGTATGGTCCTTTGGAATTCTCCTGTACGAAATCGTCACCTACGGGAAGATTCCCTACCCAGGTACTGCTTACTCACCAATTCCATTCAAGTAGTATACATGAGAATAGAGTCAAATTTATGAAGGCATCTACTTAAAAAAAAATTAAAAAATAAAGTAAAGAATAAGCACTTTGTACCAGAACTTGGCTTTCACTGTCTTCATTGCCAAGACACTTCTCTGCCTTCTTTGGGTGCATACTCATTTTTTACTAATTAATTCTACCACTTCTTCAGTGCCTAGAGCAGGCCTGGTACTGTTGGAGGTGTTGAGATGAGACTGGATTAGACACAGGTGCTCCTCCAAGTCGGTGCCCCTCACAGAGGAGGAAACAGAGCAAGTGAGGATTTCCAGTGCCTTCTGACTCGTTTTGGAACTGAGGTTTTGTAATAAGTACTGTGGAGTCTTTTCTTGTTCAGAAAATGACTGCCAACATTTATCAGTGGACCATCCTGCTGATCTTTAACTTATGGGTGTCAGTTGGAACATGATTCAGTATCTCCTGCTGATTTTTAACTTATGGGTGTCAGTTGGAACATGATTCAGTATCTCCAGATTCCTAACACCTGAAGCCCACAGAGCCAGATTCTTCACGTCTCTTCCTTTCCCCTGGGTCTGTGCTGACGTGGGTAACAGGGATTTCTCCCAAACCTTCACTTTCTTTTTAATGTTTGACTTTTAACAAAATCTGTAGATGAGTTAAAGTTACACCTTTAGTATTTCAAATTATTCTTTCATGAGCTGGAAGTTGGAGAAGGCTTTAGGACCTAAGAACCATGGTGGATGTGCTCCAGTCACTCCCACTGCTGTGGGGATGGGCCACAGAGAAGCAGGGACAGGGACTACACCTGGGAGCAAAGAATTTCAAAAGGCAGAGAAGTGCCTTGGCACTGAATTCAATGAAAGTCAAGTTCTGCCTGCAACAGAGGGCCAGTGGTCTCAGGAAATCCCTCTTGTGCCAGCATTTTGTATTCCAATTGCCCCTGGCTCTAGACACTCAAGTTAATAAATTAACACTGTTGTAAACTAGGAAATGTATTTCTGATGAGCCCTGATGTCTGGCATTATATTTCTATATCTCTCCTTAGACCTACATCTGTAGTTATATCTGTTTGAAGTGAGAAAAAGATTGTATATTCAGATTATCTAACTGATCATTACCTGATAAACAATAACCTCACATAATAATGTAATGTAACATATATGCCATACCACACATGACGCTCAGCAGAGGCCTCTTAGGTTCAGAGACCTCTGACTGGTAGCAGAGCTGCTTCCAAACTGAGACTCACATGTCTCCTAAGACTTTCCCCTTACCCCATGTGCTCCGTGTCCAGGATTTGGAATATTTGGGGTGCAAATAATAAATATAAAATAACCAGTAGAAAAATGGGTAGAGTCACAAAAAAAGTATATATGGTAGAATTAATCAGAAACCATTGCTTGGTCTGTTCTCCAAATAAATTAACCTATGTAAGGATTAGGTATGTGAGGTACCTCCAGGAGGTCTTCATTATCATTATTCCTGATTATTCAATCAGGAGGACATCTAGCATTGGGAATGATGAGAAGAATTGGCCTATTTACTTAAATATCAGAGGACTTGATTTATAGATATCACAGAAATTGGTGAACACTGCCAAAATATGCCATTTTCCACCATTATAATTAAAATGCTCCACCATTATAATATGCTCCCCTCATATGGAGTTATTTAAAAAGACTTTCTTTGCACAGAAAAGTGCTGGACATTTTAGTCTTTTAAAAAGTGCTTTAGAAGTGATAGGCCCAGTTTTGTAAAACTAAAAACAAAAAGGAATAAAAGAAAAGAAAAAACAAAACAAAAAAAGAAATAATAAAGCCACATAAAAAGTGAACACATAATTATGAAGGAAAAAGACTAAAAGGTGCAATTTACCAAAATGATATTATCCTTGAGCAAAAAGATAATAGGTTATATTAGTTTTCTCCTTGATAAATTTCTAAAGTTTCTAATTTTTTTACCATGACATTTTTATTAAATAATATTATTCTATCTAAGTAATATATACACATTAAAAAGCCAGTTAGTGAAAAGAGGCTTCTCATGAAAAATCGCCACAAGCCCTCACCTGTTGATGCTTCTCAAAGAGAATCTACTTTTAGGAGTTTTGGGTTATTTATTCTACTATTTGTGGCTCATAGTTCTAAATTATTACACAATCAAATCTTGAGTAAAATGAGTTCCTTTTCCCATTTTACTTGTTATTAAATAAGAATATAGTCAAGGTCCTTCCATGTTATGGCCTTTGCCACAGGGTCTCACTTTTTCGTTTTTAACCTTTCTTCTCATACCCAGTCTTCTGTCCTGAACTCCCCCTCCCTGCTGGGCATGGAGCTTCTCCATTCAGTTTGTCTTAGTCTCTTTTCTGTTGCTATAACAGAATACCTGAGAGTGGCAACTTATACAAGAAAGAGGTTTATTTTGTCTCTTAGCTCTGAAGGCCGAGAAGTCTAAACATAGCACTAGCATCTACTCAGCTTCCAGTGAGGACTTTGTGCTGCTTCAACTCATGATGGAAAGCAGGAGGGGAAAAGAGCTCATGCAGAGGAGATGAAACAGGAAGGGTGGCCTCACTAGATAACAAATCACTCCTCTGGTAACTAGTGCAGTTTCTCAAGAATGAAGAGGATGTACTCCTATGAGAAAGTCATCGTTCTCTCTTCATAACCTAATCACTAATGACCTACCTCCCAACACCATCATAAAGGCAACCAAATTTCAGGGAGTTTCACAGGGAACACACCATACTCAACCCATCGCATGGTTTTTCCAACATTATCTCAGATACCACCAGGCAGGCTCTGGGTACCATTCTCCCTGTGGCCACTGTCTTCACCCTCCCTTAAGGGGTTCTGGGTTCTGGCCACTCCTTTGGGAGCCCTCCCAGTGTTTGTCCCAGTGGGCCATCCTGCCTGTTATCCCTCTCTGTGGGTATTTTATACTTTCTTCCTCTTGGCTCAGATCACTCTACCTCTGGCTGCCAGATGTCTCCTAGTTTCATCAAAGATGAAGTTTAAGTTTCTATTTTTTGTTCTCTATTTTGGGGTGAAGAATAGGGGGAAAAAAATGGAAGGGGAGGCAAAAGATCCTCATTCCATTATCTTAAAATCAAAACCTTGATTATATATTTCTATATGAATTTTGTAAAAAGAAAAAGTCCCTGAGTGCAGGGTTTTGATTTGCTTTGCTCATATAAAGAGAAAGGAGGTTTGAAAATGACAGTGTTCTGAAGCATTATATCTTTTCTAGCAGTCTTCTGCCATATGTACCTAGCATCTTAATGCCATGTGTGCATCAGAATTTAAAAAATCATCGTTGTGAATTTACTACAAGAAATTCTCAGCAGAAAAGAGAAAAAAGAATAAATAAAAATAATGGTTTGCCTTTTTGGAAAAACTATTATTGAGTAGACAACTATGGTTAAAAGGTGGCTGGTTCTCATTCTCATTCTCTCTCTCTCTCTCTCTCTCTCACACACACACACACACACACACACGGGAACCCTGTATCTTTAAAGACTATTATAATCTGTGGAACTACTGGGTCCCCTCTCCTGTCACTAACCCCAATTCCTTTCTAACCTCTGTTGAACCACATTTTCTTTCTTCCTGTGTATCTCTGCCAACTTGTAGTATCTGCTAATTCCTGATCACTCCAGATACCACTTCCTGCCCCTACCACCTAGGATGTCTTCCCCATTGGGCTGTGTGTCATTGATATTGTCTCTGCTTCTCTTACAGCCTCATGCTTTCTTATAAACTCTAGTGATTATCAATAAGTAACTGGTCAAAGACTAAAGGATAGAACATGAAATTGCTTGTCTAGTAAGGCAATTATCAGCTAATGGGTGTTTGCCTTCTTTAACCAAACCACAGACCAAGTGTTAACTAACAAGTTTAATCTCAGGGTCTAATGGAGGTCTCACTCCCCATATTTTTCTTTCTTCTACAAAGACTTGTCATTTAGTGATTTGTTTGGTTTGTTGACTTATTTGTGCATAAAAAGAGTTCAGATTCTTTCCACTTAACTCCTTTTATCAAGTTAAATTCTCCAGACAGAATGGAGTATGTCTGGCCTTTATCTGCATCACTGACAGTTTCCTTCAGAGTTAGTGAAGACTTTGTGCTCACTAATAAGGATACAGAAGAATAAGGAAGAAAATATCTGTGGTAAGGTTAGGGGGATCTGGCAAGGTTTATCTTCTGTGGGCATATTCTGAACTTTTATGCAACTGGAGGTTTTCACCGAAAGAAGTGAAAGAGATATTCCTAACCAAATTTGCAGTTCCAGTTCCTGTTTACATCGTTCCAGAGATTACCTCCATCACGATGCCAGAACTTCACCCAAAGTCCATGCTTTGAAGGATGCTGAGATCAAAGCATAAACAGAGTTGGTTTTATCCAAGTCCTCTCTGCTTGACTGGTAGATGGCAGTCTTGTCCCTGTGTCTTCATATGATCACCACTCTGGGCCTGTGTCCTAATCTCCTCTTCTTAGAAGGACACCAGTCGTATTTGATTAGGACTCAACCCTGACCACCTCTTTAAAGGTTTATTTCTAAATACAGTCACATTCTGAGGGACTGGAAATTAGGACTTCAACCTAGGAATTTTAGGAGGATACACTTCCACCTGTATATTAATAAAACTTTTTTCAATCACGGGTGCAGGATGTAAATAGCAAAAAGACTCCTGTAGTGCATGCGTGCCCCTCTTGTCAGGTTTCTAAATGTCTTTTTTTTTTCCCTTTGGCCTTAGGGAGAACCAATGCTGATGTGATGACTGCCCTGTCTCAGGGTTACCGGATGCCCCGCATGGAGAACTGCCCAGATGAGCTCTATGACATTATGAAGATGTGCTGGAAAGAAAAGGCAGAGGAGAGACCAACGTTTGATTACTTGCAGAGTGTCCTGGATGATTTCTACACAGCCACGGAAGGGCAGTATCAGCAGCAGCCTTAGCACTCAGGGTGACTTGTCCCTCCATCAGGAATGGCTGCCTCATTTGGTGAAAGAAAGTGACAGTCACTGGTTGCACCAGTTATCTCACATGCTGCGATCATTTGCCATGCCTGATTCCTGAAAGTAGAGGCTAAATTACTCAGGAAGCTCACAGTGAACATGGAAATGTATTCTGTTCTCTTGGACTAATGCCCAGCAGGATACAGCTTGGACCACACCTTAGCTGGTCACCTTGCTCTGCTACCAACATCAGAATACAACCTCTTAAGAAGAAAACACCTGTTTTCTCCAAAAGTGCTCCCACACCAACCCTGTTTACAATTGGATGTGTAAATCAAAGGTTCAGAGACCATTGCAACAAATCCCCAGTAAAGCAGAACTATACTCATTTTTAAAAAGCATAAATAACCAGATGCATAGCCTGACATTTTGTATTTTCTTTGTGCTTTGCCTTACTTAAAAAAAAAAAATTACTAATCCAACCTGTTAGATATTACAGATGAAGTCAGCAACTTAAAGATGTCTTTCCCAGACTTCAGTGTTTTTGGTTTTGTGAGGTTTCCTGCCCAGGAATCTTAGACCTTTAAACATTTTTCTTTGATGAACGCTGATCAGATCCGAGGCCTATGGCAACCCCAAAGTAGCACGTGCGCTCTGAGCGCCCCCTGCAGGAGCGCCATTGACAAGCACTCACAGCAACTGAGCAGCCCATGGAATCCCAACTTCACAGAGCTGGCCCAGACCTCCCAGGGCCAAGAGGAGAACCTGGGAAACTTCTCTCTCTCTCTCTCTCTCTCTCTCTCTCTCTCTCTCTCTCTCTCTCTCTCTGTTATGGAGGAATATTTTTAACAGTGTAGCTTTTTCAGTTCCATGATTTCCTAAATAAAGACTTATTTGACAGTGCCCTTTGAAAAACAAAATTAAGATTTTAATCTTTGCAGAGCCTTATAGGGTTTTCTAAGACATAAGCATTTCCTTTGTTGTTTCAGATGATTTGAATATCATTTTAAGAATCAAATACTAATTTTAGTTGTACTCTAGAAAGTAAAAATGCCATATTTGGGGCTATTTTTGTGGTTAAGCAATCTTAATTGTATAAGATGTGTGTGAGACTATTTATACGTAAAGATATGAAGGAAAATAAGTGACTAAGGAAGCTCTTTGAGCAGCTGTGACAAACCACCCCAGATGTTTTGTTTACTTGATTTTTGTACTCAGCTTTGGACAGAAACTGCTGTGTCACTTCATTTCACTTATGCTGTTATGTATATACCTAATAATTCTATTTTTTTGATTTTAATATACCTGGCCCAACAACCTCTTAGGCTTTTTTTCTTGTGTTTAACATTTCAACTATTGCCATTGTAAAACTGAGTACCAGTTAGTAGGAAGGGGGGAGAGAAATAACTCCATATAAATATGTGATAAAAACTTGCAGAAGTTCTACCTCCATTCTTTGAGCATTTCAGGTTGGAGAACTGAGGAACTGACCGCTTGGATGCCTGAACATCCCATGATGGGGACCAAATAAGATGTGTCTTCAAATGGGCTTTGCGGGCACCATTAACATTTTGCATGTTTTGTTAGGTCCTGGTACCTCAGGGAAGGAATCAAATATTGTACTTTTCTCTTAAGTTTTAACTTCTGTTTTTCTTCTGCGATTGTTTAAATGTCCCTTCTAAAGTATTCTAAGATTCTTCATTCACAAGTGCCATATTGACAAAGACAGAATATTATCATATTTGCACGGCTAGTCACAATGATGATTCACAATGGTAAGTTTTCTACCTATACCCAGCCTGTTCACATTTTACTTCAGAACCACATGTGATTCCCCAATATATTACATAGAGAGGAAGTTTAAAGTATCCGTAGGACAAAAAGAAGTCTCTAGAAAATTACTAAAAATTTGCCTTCACTTTGTTCTGCTTTTTACAATTTGGTGAAAAAAAGTGACAGTCATTTTTTATTTTTATTTCTAATTTTTTATTTGGCTTTCCCTCTCAATCAAGCATTCGATTCTTTTCTCTTCTGTCAGGAGCCATCAGAGATACACACTTCCTCTTCTCAAGAAAATACTATGCAATGGAAGTAGGCAGGCTGTCCCTAGAGTTTATCAAAAGTTAATAAAAGGAGGAACTGTTTACACAGTGGATAGATCAAGATTATAATTATAAATTCATTTGCAATTCTGCTAGTGGTGCCTAATTTCCCTTTATTCTTCCCCTTGCTCTCATAAGCTACATCCGCTACAGGGGTGGTAACTGTTAAAATGTTCTTAGCACTGAAACACCAGCTTCTGATACATTCAACTGAATTAAACAAAATGCTCCTACTGCTGGGCTACCCAGCGCTTCTGATTTTAACCACTGTGTTCCATAGCCAGTTCATGAACGTTTCCTATTTCCCAGCTAAAAGCATGTCACAGATGAAATCAAACTTCCCACTTTTCCTCCTCAATGTCTCCTTTATCGGCTCCTGCCTGGTGGAACAGAGACCCCACATTTTTACTACATGAAGTTTTTAGATTAAGTGAAGCTGAGCCTTGCCGTTCATGCTGATGGAAAGTAGTGAGTATAAACACATGAAGATACTTACACATCTACCAGGACTCTCTTTGGTGCTCTGGCACTTTATAAAAATTATCTCTTATACAATACACTGGAAGATCTGACAGGCTATCTGTTTCACAACTGAGAAATAAGGTTCTTTAAAGCCACAGAAAGAATAGGTTAGCTTTGCTTCATATTGTTTTCTTGTGAAATAAAACTGGTGAAGTGATTTTGGAGCAGACTCGCCCTGACTCTTGGGTGTTCTGAGTCAACAAAGGTATTACAAGATGCTCCACTGGAGTCCACATAGATGTGAAGGAAAATGTTATTAAATCATTTTTGGTGTGGACAAAATGTCACACAAGAGCTAAACTCACCACTTACACTTTTAAATAATTGTAGGGACTACATTTTTTAATAAAATATTTTGATAATATTTTTGCTTTATTTCATGAAAGTATATTAAAACTGGTTAAAATTTTATCTCAGCAAATTCTAGCCTGATACATGTATAAGAAGTAAGTCTTCTGATTTGATTTCCTGTGTTCTTATGAGTACATTAAATACTTCTGGTGGAGAGCTGAAAATGTCACAGAGTTCTCAAGAGTATTTCCCTTCAGTGTGGAAATGACGAGAGCAATCTCAGTGGCCTCAACCTATAAGTGTTAGGGAAACATTAAGAAATAATCTAGATTGAATGATGTACAATCTTAATACAGAACTTCTAGAATCAAAAGTGGCCTTATCTATAGCACCCAAAAGCAGATGCCATGTCACAAAGCAAATAAATTATCTGTGAATTTTGTTTATTATTAGCTTTATACTATGCATGGACAATAGGTCCTTGTCTGCTACCCTTAGGGTCAGATGTGTTTTTAATTTGATTTTTAAAAATTATTGAGTTCAATCCCTGGTGCCCCCCCCAAAAAAATTATTGATACAATTAATGTACTGAATATTTAGTGGCAAAATTTCAGTGAACACTAAAAACACATAATCAAATAAAACATTCCTGCAGAAAAATGCAGGAGTATTTACACTAAGTGGGATAAATGTAGCCTATAAATAGATTTAGGTCAATTTTTGTCATCAAATGAGTTCTTTAAAAATCTTTTGGCTTGTGGAGTATGTGTTTCAGAATTGTGGAATAGGGATGTAGACCTGTACCCTGACAGGTTAAAGAATGAGCGGGACCTTTTATATATCTGCAGTACATTAGATTCAAATGAAGCACATTGAGTGGGTGAGTGCTCAAAATCCATTTTAGTCTTCATTCTATTTATTTTTAATTGGTGCATTATAGTTATATGTCTAATTGGAATGAATTGTGACATATTCATACATGCACATAGCATAATTTGATCAATTTCAATAGAGTAGAGTAAGAGGCTTAGGGAAGGAGGGAAGACAAAGAGAAAGTGCTGAGGATTGAAATGAAGAAAATTATGTTATATGCATTTATGAATAGGTGAAAATGAACCCCACTAGTATGTGTAACTATAATGCACTAATAAATTTTTAAAAACCATTTTAAGCAGCTATGTTCAAAGATATAAAATATTTATGCTTCTCTTTCAGTTATTAATATAACCTGATCCAATATTGCCTTAGAGAAGTCGGGGAAATCTGGGTGTTTTAGTGGGCCCCAAGGTACCTCTGGGAGCCACGACAGTTAAGGAGTACAGTTATATGTAGTTAGAGCTCAAAAAAGCCACACACACCCAGAGATGCTCTGTCATCACATGAGGTCAGACCACACAGGGCATAACACTACCCTTGGAAAGTCACTTTGGGGTAGGTAATGGAAAGTAACTGAAGGGTCAGGGAGCCATTGAGAGCCACAGCACAGACGTTTCTTGATTTGATAGGAGGTAACAATGGAATCTTTTAAAACCATTTGCTCTGTCAAATGATTGTGTTCTGAATTGTCGTGGTAAATTTATTTTTCCAAAGCAATCGTCCCTAATTTTTTCAATCAAAATAGGTTCTCTTTGAGCTAATAATAATCATTCAATGCAATGCTTTATGAAGCCCTTCCCTGTTACAGGAATTGCAGTGGAAATGTGATGGACATGAATATTCAACCTTAAATTTTCTACTTTATGTGACAAGTACAACAATGACATAAGGTAGAGAAAGAAAACTGTTATGAGGGAGCAAAAAACAGGTATAAAGCATGAGGAAGATCATTCCAAAGAGAACACAGAACAGTTAGAAATATAGGACAAGGTAAAGAAAAGAGGCTTCCTAAAAGTGAGTGATGAGTGCCCTGATCCATCCTTCAAGTCAGGTTTGGTCTTGAAGGATGGATCTGGGTACTGGCAGCCAAACAGGACACTGCTGGGAGAAGCTTCAGGAAAGGTGCAGCATGGGAAGAGGCAGGGCAGGAAGTATGGCCACATCAAGGGACAGGGCACTCAGACTGGTACAAAGAGAACGACAGCTCTCAAGCTTGAGTGTGCCTCAGAATCTCCTGAGAGGCTCTTGACAGCAGATCACTGGGACCAACCCTGGGGTTTGGGGTCTGGGGTGTAGGTCTGGGATAGGACCCAAGAGTGGCAGCTGATATTGCTGGTCCTGGACCACATTTAGAGACCCACGGAATATAATGGTTCTTAAAAGCAGGAAAACCTGCTAAACCAGAAAAAGGTCACATCTTGGAGAAAACAGGGAGTCCCAGATGAGAAGCAGATCTTAGACCACACTGGTGGAACACAAGATGATTGAGAGAGCCTCCCAAAGGGGAACACAGTCTAAGGGGTGTACCACGGATTCTGGGGCCACATTTCCTGGATTTTTTCCCCAGTTCTGTTCATGCTCAGCTACAAAGTGGGGATTCTAATTATATTTACCTCATAGGGTTATTATGAGGAATAGATGTAGAAATATTTCATTAGGAGCTAAGACATAGTTTAGACATAGCTAAGTCAATATGTTTATGAAATATAAACATGAAGTCAAGATGTGTTGAATCACAATGTTAAGTGCAATGTCAGAAAAGCTCTTTATGAAGTCTAATCAGCCAGTAAGTGGTGTGAGAGACAGATGGACAGGAAAACCAATGAAGAAGCTATTATGGCAGTCCCCATGGAGGAAAAAAAACAAAAGCCTGAATTACACTTGGGCCTGCTATGGGAGACACCACAGTAGCAGACAGTCCCAACATGCAGATGAGATTTCTCTAGATTTGGAACTAGGTACATAAATCTACTTGTGCTTTTTAAATTTTTATTTTATTTTTTTACTTTTTGTAATGCTAGGGATCAAACCCAAGGTTTCACACATGCTAAGCAAGCATTCACTCACTAAGCTACATCCCAGTCCTGTTGGATTTATTTTTTTTAGCTTTTCTATTTTTACCTTTGTGTTTTTAACGCACACTTACACACACCACCTATAATATTGATTTAAGTATTTCAAATTATAACCCTGAAGAAAAGTCAACCAGAAAATTGGATTTTGGAGATGACAGATATCATAGGTTGAATTGTGTCCTCCCAAAATGATATGTTGACATTCTAGGACCTTATCATGTGACCACATTTGGAAATAGGGTTGTTAGAGGTGTAATTAGTTAAGATGAAGTCATACTGGAGGAGTATAAGCCTGTAGTCCAATATGACTGGTGTCTTTATACGAATACCATGTGAAGAGACATGCACAGAGAAAAGATGATGTGCAGACACCAAGGAGAAGATGGTCATCTATAAGCCAATGAGAGAGGCCTAGAACAGATCCTTCCCTCACAGCCCTCAAAGGTAACCAACCAAGACAACACTTCCATCTAAGATTTCTGGCCTCTAGAACTGTGAAAAAATGAATTCCTACTTTTGTAAGTCTCCTTATTTTTCGTACTTTGTTATAGCAGTCCTAGCAAACTAATGTAGCAGCCTAGTGAAATCATAGGAGTAGCTGATTAAAGAGAAATTTTGTAGAAAACAGAGAACTAGGGATAATTTGCAGTGAGGATGAGCGTAGCTGGGTGCTATGATTTGGAAATGTTTCCCAAAGGCCCATGTGTTAAAGACTTGTGGCCAGCCTGGGGCACTATTGGGAGGTAGTGAAACTTTTAAGAGGCATGTCTACTGAAAAGAAGTTAGGTCATTGGGGCGGGTCTTAAGGGAATGTTAGGACCCCAGCCCCTTCCTGAGGCTCTCCTCTTGCTCCTGGTTGCTGTCATCTGAGCAGGTACTCCTTTGGCATGCATCCTTGCCATGATATACTGTACCACCATAGGCCCAAAACAACAGAGCCAAATGACCATTTACTGATACCTCTGAAACCATGAGCCAAAATAAAACTTTTCCTCTTTCTAAATTGATTCTTTCAAGTATTTCATCATGGTAAGAGAAAGCTGATTAGCACAGTGGACCAGAAAGAAAAAAAATGATATAAAAAGCTTGCTAAAGCAGAAAGCAGGAAAGCTAAGATGGCATGTTCTCTAGGGTTCTGGGGATAAGGGCTGCATGGAGGAATGGATGGGCAGCAATGTGTTTTTTAAATGTAGGATTTTATTATTATTCAAGTCTGGTACAGCCAACAGATCAGTAGACACCTGCCATTGAAAAGACAGCTTATTACACACAGTTCTCAAAAGAAGGGGTTGCACCATGCCATGCAGGGTCACATGGAGAAGCACCAGCATTGGTCATAAAGCAGAGGGAGTAAGGGGAAACATGAGCAAGGGCCTTTCTGCAGGAAAGGCCAGGCAAGGCAGAGCGAGCAGGCTTAGGACTGACTAATATGGATCTTTTCCATTGCCTCTGGTACAGAGGGACTATCCTTAGCTGTCTAGTATACAACCCTCAGTGCGCTGAATCCAGGAGAGCTAAAAGTATCCAAGTCTTATTCTGGATAGCTGCTCAGTGTGTATTAGGAAAGGAAGTATGAAAAACTTAAAAATTCAATTAAAACTCTCAACTTCAAAGAGTTGGATAACAAAAATTTTTTTCTTATTAATGAATAATGTAACACAATATACCTTTATGAAGAACACACACACACCTCTAGAACAAAGCCTATAAAAAAAAATAGAGCCATCACAGAAGAAGAGATATGAATGGTCAAAAAATATATGAAAACATGTTAACATCTCTAGCAATTAGAGAAATGCAAATCAAAACTACACTGAAATTCCATCCCGCTCCAGTCAGAATCACAATTATCAAGAATTCAAGTAATAATAAATGTTGGCAAGGAGATAGGGGGGAAAGGTACACTCATACATTGCTGGTGGGGCTGCAAACTGGTGCAACCACTCCAGAAAGCAGTATGGAGGTTCCACAAAAAACTTGGAATGGAACAACCATTTGATCCAGTTACCCCTCTCCTCAGTTTATATCCAAAGGACTTAAAATCAGCATATTACAGTGACGCAGGTACATCAATGTTTATAGTGGCTCAATTCATAATAGCCAAGCTATGGAACCAACCTAG